TGTAAACGTTATTTGGCGGTTTTTACTTGGAAAACCAGCTATATTTTTCTTGCATTCGAATAACAATGGATAAACCTGAAATGATAGAAGGATTGGAGATGAATTTCATTTACAAATAAGGTAGGAAATGTGCATACTTTTAAATCGATACCTGCCACGGTGTTTCTTATTTGTCATCTGTGATCCCTTTTGAGTGTCCTAAAAGCCGATGGGGGCCCCCCTGGGTCTTATCACTCAGCATACCCGGTTTAAAAAGTCACTGCTCGCCACTGATATATATATACAGGGATGCACATAAGTGGTAAGCAGGTCCGCATGCACGACCAAAATAAAAAATGCGCTGTGTAAATAAGTTCTGACAGCGCATTTGCGTTGATTTCTATTCAAACTGAAAGCATAAATCTAGGCTATCAGCTGCCATCTTTTCAAAGCACAATGCAAAACTGTGACATTTCATTCACTGACGTTCTTCGATCGGCAACTCCAAACCCGGAAGTGCATATACTAACTTTGCCGGCAACCCGCCAACATAAAAGCCTGCTGATTTTAAGTTAGAAAATGATGAAAATTAAAAAAAGAAGTAGTAAATATTAACATTTTATTTTTAAGTTTACTATAAAGTAATTGTATTTGTATTTAATACTTCCCTTTAATTTTTAAATATAACAGTATTATCACACTTTATTATTTAGTTTATTAATTTTATTTAAAAAAAATAAATAAATAAAGTGCAATATTATTATCAGTCTTATTAATTTATTTTTTTTATATTTATATTTAATGGGTAACAGTATATGCAGTGTGAGGACCAAACCAAATCTCCAGGTTCTCATATGAGAACCAGGCTGAAAAACTTATGTGCACCCATGCCTATAACATACATTTAAGAAAACAGATAGAGCTATTGTATTTCATGCCGACTTTAACGAAGTAAATGATTCAATGACTCGCTCAAAAGATTCGTCGCCACCTACTGGCGAAACGATAAACTGCGGTGCAAGGGCCACGAATGTCAGTCAGTGAATCTTTTTGATGAACTGGCTCGAAAGACTCGAGTCACTGAGTTGAATGGAAATCCCCACCACTATTCGGCATCCTAATGTTTGGAGACACACGTACGATGCCATCGCAGCGGAGATAGAGCAAATTCACAGCTCATTTGCTCTTTGTGGTAAGATAACTGCCACTGTCACGGACAATGGCGCGAACTTTGTAAAGGCATTCAGAATGTTTCAAGCTGATGATGATGAAGCAGAGAATAATGAAGACGAGGTCATTTTTACAGACTTGCACGAAGTCTTACGGGATGACAGTGAGACCAGCGAAAGGTATATTCTCCCTCCACATCACCGATGTGCATCCCACACCCTTAACCTTATATGCACAAATGACGTAGTTAAATTTTTGACGGCAGAGGCGTTGTGTGCGCTGTGTGAACATGATGTTACTGTAGTTCTGGACTAAATGTGAATGTGCATTAATTCATCCCACTCACAAAAAACAGATTTAGTATTCATCAAAATGAATTAAAACAGTGAAATGCAAACTCAGAATATGACGCAAACCTGCAATAATTAAATATGTTAAATAACACAAATGTATCTAATTCCATTTTATTAACCAATATCTCCTGACCTTTGATGATCCAGTTAAACCATACTAATAAGCAAAAATGACTTTAGAGAAACTAGCAATTGTGCTTTGTTTTTTTTATTGCTGAAGAGTGTTTCTTCTGCGTTCTACTGTACAGACGTGAATTTACTTTTGCTTCAGCCTGGGGTTTATTCATTACAGTTTTTGGTGTGAAAGGGCTTTTATATTTGCTATAAATAGAACTTCTTATATTAAAAACAATCAAGTCCTGCTTATATTTAAAAAGTAACGCGAAAGTAACGCAAAAGTAATATAATGCATTACTTTCCATAAAAAGTAACTAAGTAACGTAATTAGTTACTTTTTTTAGGGAGTAACGCAATATTGTAATGCATTACTTTTAAAAGTAACTTTCCCCAACACTGTTTATAGTTATACTTAATGGTTAACAGTATATGCAGTGTCAGGACCAAACCAAATCTCCAGGTTCTCATATGAGAACCAGGCTGAAAAACTTATGTGCACCCCTGTATATATAAATACACACACACAATCTAATTTTAATATGTAAGGGATAATGTACTTCCAGCCGGTTGTTATCGCAGAAGGATCTTGCATCACCCTGAAGAGGTTTATTCTGTGATAACAACCAGCTGAATGTACATTATCCTGCTTATTATACGGCTACTTGCCACATAGCTAAAAAATATTAATTTGAGTAGAAATATTTTATTAGCTTTTTAAACACAAAGCTTCCACAAAGACAAACAGTTCCTACCAAACAACTTTGAGCCTAGACAGTTTAGACAAGATGGACATTTAAGGCATGATGTACATTCAGTGTTTCCCCTAGGTTTACGACT